TATGAATGTTAGTTCGAACTAACGTCCGTTAGTTCGAACTAACATTGTAGTGTAGACATACCCAAGGTAACTTATGAGGGTGGTATTCCTGGAAGCAGAGTGTGAGGGAGAGAGGAGGACCTGGCGCCAAACAAGGCCTTTATGCCTAACTAGCCCCGCCCTGTTTTACCTGCAGCCAATGCCAGGCCTGGAGGGAGGATAAAAGAGAGGAGCCTGGCTCAGTTAGGGGCTGACCAGTGAAGAGACAGGAGCTGGTACTGTTGTTTGCAGGAGCTGTGCCAGAGCCATCTACTGGGTGAGCCACAGGAGCACATAAGCCTCCAACCCCTCCCCCTGGCGCAAAGGAGGGGAAATTACAAGGAACCCTCACTGAGGAGAGGGAAGTTGGACTCCCTGGACACGCCCCAAACTGAAGATCCAGACTCTGATAAGAAGCCGGAATTCCTAAGCCCGGGAGCCCAACGGCAGAGCCCTACACACCTTTGCCACCAACTAACTGTGGGACCTAATAACTAGGCCACCCTGCTGCCCATGAGACCCGACCACACAGAGCTACTGATGTTTGCCACTTGTAGCAACCCCACAGTATAAACACAGCACCCTCCCTGCTTAGAAGCTTGAACACATTCTCCCGTCTATATTTGCTAAAACTTGGATGGATCTATTTCAGTCATCGAAAGAGGAGGCAAATTATAGCTCAGTTTCCCTGAGAGATACTAAAATGCCTCAACGTTGGTTTCTCACCAGATGTCCAAATCAGAAGAATAATCCGTGGCTCCAAGCAGCACATCAGGAGGACGGTACCAGAGCGTCACCACCTCAGAGGAGTACGTCTGACTGGGGATGGACTTGGCACGCGCAAGACCTGCCAGCATAGGAAAAACACCTCTCTAGTTACACTTCTGTGTCCCTTCATTGATACTTGCATAAGAACATAAGAATGGCCCGACTGGGTCAGACCAATGGTCCATCTAGCCCAGTATCCTGTCTGTCAACAGTGGCCAATGCCAGATGCCCTAGAGGGAGGGATCACAACAGGTAATCCTCACGTGATCCCTTCCCTGTCACCCACCTCCAGAGAATCAGAGGCTAGGGACACCATTCCTACCTGTCCTGGCTAATAGCCATTGATGGACCTAACCTCCATGAATCTATCTAGCTCTTTTCTGAACCCTGTTAAAGTTCTAGCCTTCCTCACATCCTCTGGCAAGGAGTCCCACAGGTTGACTGGGAGCTGAGTGAAGAAAAACTTCCTTTTGTTTGATTTAAACCTGATGCCTATTAATTTCATTTGGTGACCCTTCATTCTTATATTGTGGGAATAAGTAAATAACTTTTCCTTATTCACTTTTTCCACACCAGTTATGATTTTATAGACCTCTATCATATGCCCCCTTAATCTCCTTTTTTCTAAGTTGAAAAGTCCCAATCTTTTTAATCTCTCCTCATGTGGGACCATTCCAAATCCCTAATCATTTTTGTTGCCCTTTTCTGAACCTTTTCCAATGCCAATATCTCTTTTTTTGAGATGAGGTGACCACATCTGTATGCAGTATTCAAGATGTGGGCGCACCAGGGTTTTATATAGAGGCATTTCCTTTTGTCTCGACCGTGCCCGAGTCCTAATAATCTGAAGGAAAACAGTTTATTTTTTTGTAGCACTATTCATTCTAAATGATCCCAAGGCACTTTACAATCAATATATACATATAAGCTGTGTCTGTACTGGCAAGTTTTTCCGCAAAATCATCTGCTTTTGCAGAAAAACTTGCCAGCCGTCTACACTGGCTGCTTGAATTTCCGGAAAAGCACTGATGATCTCATGTAAAATCATCAGTGCTTTTCTGGAAAAACTATGCTACTCCCGTTCGGGCAAAAGTCTTTTTCCGAAAGACTTTTGCGCAAAAGGGCCAGTGTAGACAGCATAGTACTGTTTTCCACAAAAAAGCCCCGATTGTGAAAAAGGCGATCGGGGCTTTTTTGCGGAAAACCGCATCTAGATTGGCCACGGACGCTTTTCTGCAAAAAGTGCTTTTGCGGAAAAGCATCCTGCCAATCTAGACGCGCTTTTCCGAAAATGCTTTTAACGGAAGAGAAAGGGATGTTTTGACTGAGTCCTTGCACTTAAAAACGTGCCGCTGATTTGTATGCAAAGCAGCCGGATGTTGGCTTTTAAGGTCTCTATTTAAAGATCCACTTATACTTAGTTGAATGCTACTTAATTTATCTCTTTCAGGAGACTGGAGAGAGCATGCAGCTTAAAGATATGTAGGGTGTATATTTAAAAATTGTTTTGGAATTTGCGTAGAGTTTCCGTGCTCAGCATCAGCAGATATACTGACAATGTGTGTTTCTATAACATTTACATACATTTTGTATGTATACATTATTTATAGCCATGGGATAAATTCCATTTATCTTCCATCTTTTTAGTGTTTCTTAGGCACTTAGCCTACAGACTGAAATCTGGGGAGACAACTATGGACACTGCAAACATTCTACCATTTTAGAATGAACAAACACCTCTGGAATGTTTCTTTCCTGCAATATGTGGCACTCTCTCCCTATTCCTCCAACTGACATGGACCCGACGTGCAAGGGTGTGCCACAGTCAGTCCTAGATCACAGAAGATTAAGATAGAGAGGAAGGGTCATAAAAATGCTTTCAATTTAAAAAAAAGTAAATCTCCAGCATTTCTAAACATCTTTTTTCATGTAACACGTGAGATATGCAGAGTCCATTATGCTATAGAAGGAAGGATTTATTAGCACACATTTGGGATGACCTGTCTAATTCAGTTTAGACAAAGCCAGTTCATTCTAAGGATGTCGACTAGTTCAAGAGTGGCCAACCCATTAAACAAAGAGAGCCGAAACAGCAGTGGAAAAAACGTGAAGAGCCACACCAGAATTTTTTTTTTTGGCAACAACAACAACAAAAAAAGGATGCTGCCCCTTTAAAAGAAAAGACCAGGCTTTTTGGCCACATCAGGCTCCCGTTAGCTGCTGCTATCTTGGCTGTGCCATTTTGAATCGCCGCACCGGATGACTGGGGACCATTTCTAGGGGCACAGGGGAGGCTTCACAAGCTGCATTTTAAGGGTGGGAAGAGCTGCATGCGGCTCGCTAGTCCACCCCTGGACTAGTTGATTCCCCCTCCCTCTATCAAATAGAGGCAGCAAAGGGCGGGGGAGGGAGTACTTCAAAGTGGCAGCACCACATGGAACCCATACCCAGGCTCCATGTGGCGCTGCCCCTTTGAAATGCCATGGCAGCGTTTCAAAGGGACAGCACTGCACAGCTGATCCCAGGTTCGGTTGTGCAGCACTGCCCCTTTGAAATGCTTCCTCTGCATTTCAAAGCAGTGCCACATGGAGCTGACCCTGGGCTTCATGTGGCACTGCCCCTTTGAAAGGCTACCATGGCATTTGCGTGCAGCCTGGGGTCAGCTGGGAAGTCCCCAGCTGATCCCTGGTTCTGCAGAAATGCTGCACAGAGCCCGGGATCAGCTGGGGACTCTCGTACATTTCAAAGCTGGCACCCGCATGCAGCCCAGAGTCAGCAGGACTTCCCAACGGGGGCTCTTGTACATTTCAAAAGAGGAATGCAGAAATTCCTGTCGAGTAGTCGATGGAAATTCCATCGACTACTTGACTAGTAAATTACTCGATATGTAACATCTTTAGTTCATTTCACTTCATTTCATTTCATTTCAATTTTGCGCTTGGCAGAGAGAGTCAAGATCGTGTCTAATGTGCTACAATCTTATACTGAGGAGGAGGAATATATAAAACAGATATATAGATTAAGCTGGGGATCATGACATCAAAGACCCCACTGGCTTGGGAGCCAGTGGATGAAGGAACAACAGCCAGTCTGCCAACAAGACATGTTGAGTGTACAATAATCCAAATATATGCACCCACAAATGCAGAAGGTGATCCTGGGGTGGGAGGAGGAATAGTCTATGAGCAGGTACAGGAAGTATTGGAAGATGTGTTATAGCAAGGACAAAGTATCTCAGAGACCCTGGAGTTCAGTAGCCACTAGTGCCATTCACTTACAGGTTGTGCTCCTGCCACATTTTCACCATATACAGCTTGGGTTCTAATGTCTGCACCCAGGAGGGAAGAGCTATTACCCAGCTTCTGCTCTCTCATTCCCCACTTCCCAGTCTTTTATATAGCCCCAGGCTATTGGGTGGGCAGCTGTTTCCCATTCACCAGTTAGGGGCAGGTTTTCTCTAGCCAGCTCCAATTTACTTCCCTTAATGGGAGCTGGCACAAGAGAGGGCTGAATCAGGAGCCCTTGGCCTGGATGCCATCACACATGTCTCACCAGGGCTGTGTCCAGACTCAGGGGTTTTTTCGGGAAAAGTAGCCTTTTTCCGAAAAAACTTCACCTGCGTCTAGACTGCAGCCGCGTTCTTTCGAAATTAAATCGAAAGAACGCGGCTTTTCTTTCGACGGCGGTAAACCTCATTTCACGAGGAAGAACGCCTTCTTTCGAAAGTGCTTCTTTCGAAAGAAGGCGTTCTTGAATGTAAATAGGGCTTCTTTGAAAGAGAGCATCCAGACTCACTGGGTGCTTTCTTTCGAAAAAGCGGCTTGCTCTTTCAAAAGTTCCGCGTGCAGTCTAGACGCTCTCTTTCGAAAGAGGCTCTTTCGAAAGTATCTTTTGTAAGAGCCTCTTTCGAAAGAGGCTTGCAGTCTAGACATAGCCTAGGAGGGTAGTGAAGCACTGGAATGGGTTACCTAGGGAAATAGTGGAGTCTCCATCCCTAGAGGTGTTTAAGACTCGGGATTGACAAAGCCCTGGCTGGGTTGATTTAGTTGGGATTGGTCCTGCCTAGAGCAGGGGGCTGGACTTGATGACCGTCTGAGGTCTCTTCCAGTTGTATGGTTCTATGATTCCATGAAAACCTCTACACTTCCCTACATCATCATCCATTCTGTATGCCACATTTTTAAAGTAGGGGTCTGATTCTCCCTTGAACAAGTCCCGTATTACTGTTACTGCAGTGCTTTAAATAAAATTACTTCCAGTGCATACCAGTACGAAGAGAGAAGGATCAGGTTTACAAATTGGTCACAAAAT